CGGCAAGTCCTCACCACTTGCGTTGCCACTTGTAGGCACCTTCGTACGAGTACGGATATGTACTCTTGTACTCGTACGTTAGGGGTCCTGTACGAGGGTTTTTTTTTTTTTTTTTTTTTTTTTTTTTTTTATCCGATAGTGTTTTTTTTTTTTTTTTTCAAATTCTAATAAGAATCTGAAGATGATAATCAACCAAATGTTGCTTGTTTTGTGTTGTTGCATCACATATTCTTTTTTCGGATTTGTCGATGACTTTTTTTTTTTTTTTTAATTTGCTTTTTCGTACGGGGGTGTACAAGACGTACTAGTTTCTGTACAGGTTCCCGTATAGATCCCGTACAAATATTACCCTACGTTGCATAGAGTACACGTACGGGGGCTTCCTGTACAAAATGTACAAATTATTTCAGTACGGGATCTGTACGAAAACATGTACGGAAACCTGTACGTCTTGGACGCCCGTGCACAAAAAAGCAAAAAAAAAAAAAAAAAAAAAAACTTCATCAAAAAAATCCGAAAAACAACTACGTGATGCAAAAACACAAAACAAGAAACATTTGGCTGAGCATCATCTTCAGATTCTTATTAGAATTTGAAAAAATAAATAAAAACAATATCGGATTAAAAATATATATATATATTCGTACGGGGCCTCTAACGTACGAGTAGCATATGAGTACAAAAGTACGAATTCGTACTCGTACGAGGGTGCGTACAAGTGGCAACGTAGATATTACCTGTACGTTTCATACGGAAAGGTCCCGTATGTGTACTCTATGCAACGTAGCTCACCACTGTGGGGATAGTGGACTTGCAAAAATGTTTTTCGAAAAAAAAAAAAAAAGAGGAATAGGGACCGGCGAACTCCTCTACCAGTCTCAAAACGGAGAGGATAATTGGCTACGAAGCTTAGGCATGAACGCTGCAAATCTTCATACCTGGTTCCTGGGCACAACACATTGAGAAACAAGACCTTTTTTGTCCTTTCAACACACCAAAGGTCAGCATGAACCACCAGATGAGCCACAAGCGAGAGCAGGCACGTTTGCTTAACAACAGGTAAGTCCATCAACAGTGTCCAATGTCTAGGAAAAACATATCATTCATCTTTCATTACTTACCTTAAACCACCAGTACCTTTCCCATATATTGGTCGCAGGCATAAAAAAAGTTTGAGATGGAAAACAGTTCGCCCATGAAATATATCAATGGCGGTCTCATCTCGCTTCGCTTCTGCGTAGCTGGAAGCGGAATTGACACAAACGGTTATCGGGTAGCTGAAAATTCAGGAATGAAAATTCTGAAGTGAGAGTTTTGGGCAGTCTGAAAATCTTGAATGGTCCTGAAGTGGTGAAAGGCCCGAAGACCCTGAAAACCACCTGTTTAGGTAGGCTGCATTCTGAAGTGGTGAAGGGTGTCCTGGAGTGGTCAAGTGAGAGTTTTGAGCAATCTGAAAATCTTGAATGGTCCTGAAGTGGTGAAAGGTCCGAAGACCATGAAAACAACCCTTCACCACTTGAGGATGCAGCCTGCCTAAACATGTGGTTTTCAGGGTCTTCGGAGTTTTCACCACTTCGGGACCATTCAAGATTTTCAGACCTGAATGGTCCTGAAGTGGTGAAAGGTCTGAAGACCCTGAAAACCACCTGTTTAGGCAGGCTGCATCCTGAAGTGGTGAAGGGTATCCTGAAGTGGTGATGAAAAATACGACTATTGTTAACCTTCTCTCGGAATTGACTTTCAAGCGGGGAAAGGTACAGTGGGTTTAATCTACGTTCTCTGATCTCATTTTACGTTCCGTACTTAATTATAAGGATAATCTTTCTTGAAGAAATGTTCATTACTGCATGAATAAATCATTGACAAACTTTTGCAGTTTTAAATCCCTGACTTCCCAACTTTCAAGGTAAAATTTGCATTATACCCCTCAAAGTTTACATGTATGCCAAAATGCCCCTAAAAGTTCTGGGTAGAGCAGAATGCCCTTTTGGCCAGAATTCTTTGTGATATGCCTCTGTCAAGTCGGGATGCAAATCTGTAATTTGTATGTCTCCATTGGGGCGTGGACGAGCACCCCACTTTACCCTTTTTACCTTCCCTACCCGACAGATAACTTTGCAGAATATCCAAGCCTTAGGCGACAATCTGAGACTTTGAATTCAAATTTTCAAAATGAATGCGCATCGCTTGAAAACTGTGCGGCCGCCCCACGCTGGGTTGGCAAGCTTGTGATAAGCCAGGTTCCGTACTCGGCGACTTCCCGTACCCTTTAACCACAGTACCTCCGAGCCTGTTTTTGCCGACCCTGAATTTCACTGCGCTCCGAGTTTTGCCGAACCTGGGTACCACTCCGTTTTCTTTATGATACTCTCACGAAAAAGAAGAAGAAAAGTTGCGGCCGTGAACCTCAGAAAATAAGAAGAAAAAAAAAAGAAACAAAGATTTGGCCGTGATTGCAGTTGTATACATTCTTGGAAGTGGTAATGTGAGTGTGCCCTTAATGATTACATCTCAGCCACGTGACCAGGTTGTCAGATTCCAAATGGAGAATAAGAGGGGGAAAAAACAGGCACATGGATCCGACCGTGAAAATGGCTGGATACATTTCCCTAAATGCCAGTGTGACGAGCCTTACAATCCTGTGACAAAACACAGCTTGAGCAGATCACGGACAGCTTGAGCAATTCACGGACAGGGGACTTATAAGAAACACACGACCAAGAAAAAAAAGAAAACAGTAACATTCATAATGTGACCGCTTATGTGCAAGGTGCATTCTGTGGAGGAAGATTGTGAGCACGGCCTCCTGGACTACCCAGCCCGACATCATTGCAGTAGAGATTTTTTTTTTTTTTTCCCTTTTTTCGTTCACTCGCGACACTATAAAATTCAGATTTATGGGACGTTCTCGACCCTTTGTCCCACCCCCGAAATGTTCGGGTACTGGCCAAGACATCGTAATTTCCCAACACTGGTAGAGGTACTGGTGGTTTAAGAGAAAATCCCACGTAAACCCAAGAAGTACGGATGCAAGATAATAGGGAAGAACGGGGCGTCATTTTTTTTTTTTTCTTCCCTCTACGAAAAGAGGGACATAGTAAAAAATGCAATAATTCGGGTCTCGTGTGGCCAGTTAGCGGCCTCGCCAAGAAATTCAAGAAGCAGTTGGGAATTAGTGGGAGTAGGAATTTTGAACTTTTGCGCGCGCAACTGTTTTTAGAATTTTTTTGTGCCGCGTAAACCCGTTCTCCCGCTCTGCATCCCCACACCATCTTCATTCTTGCTGCGCATCCCCTTCCTGCATGTCTCTTCGTCTTCCCTATAAGTGAAGTCCGATCCCCCCCTTCTCCTTTCTCTGCGAACGATTGGCTGTCTGATTGGGATGGTCGGGCAATGTGGTCGTGGCGGGAAGCGCACCCCACTTGGACGACCACCCCAATCACGCCGATCATCCGACTCGCCTCTTTCGATCTTTCTAGAACCTATGCCCTTCTTCTGTCTTGCTCATCTACCCCCCGTACTTTGCGCAGCCTCCCCGCCGCCTTCCACGCTATAAATTATCGCAACCCCTTCCTTTCACTCTCTTTGATCTCGACTGCAAGCTGCAGAAGATATGAGTGAAGCCCGCGGTGCTGGAAAGGCTCGACGTGCCCCGTGGTGGGTGGAGTGACGGTGGGTGGCAGAGTTAGTGGTAGACTTGGGGTAAGGCACTCAGAGGGACTGAGCGGTGGTGGAGATCAGACCCAGACAGCGGCAGGGCCTTGTGGCTATGGTTGTCAATGGTTTTGACGGATTGGGGACTGGGCCCGGAGCGGCCAGTCGTGAAAATTCTGCATTTTAAGACGAGTTTTTTCTTCATTGCTGCTTTGTCCGAGTCCCCGTGTGATGTGTGCATGGTCCCAAGGTGTGGGTAATCCATTATGCATGTTTGGGTATGAACGTTTATGGATGTTGAATGTCTCATTGAGGGCTCTATGAGTAGGCGTGCATGTATGCGCCCCCAGTCCTGATAATAAGAAGTACCGAATGTCGATTGCTTGCATGAGTGGCAGCATGAGTGCGTCGGTCCTTCCTCCTCTCATTCGCCTTTAAACCCAAGCGGGTGTGTGGGATACGCGCCAACCACCTTTCGTCGTCTCTCTCTCTCTCTCTCTCTCTCTCTCTCTCTCTCTCTCTCTCTCTCTCTTACATACACACACACACACACACACACACACACACACACACACACACACACACACACATCGTGCGCAAGTCCGGACTCCCAGGGGATTCGGATAATCTCGGACAGAGAGGTGGTCCGTGTTTCCGCAACGCGGTCGATCTCTTTGTGCCCACCCCGGGGTCCCCGACACCACATTCTTGTTGATGCTACAGAGAGAGACGGAGAAAGAGAGCTAGGTGCATCCTTTTCAACGGTATTTGTTGGTCTTTGCATGGAGTAAGGTTTCGTCTCGACGGATGGGAGCACGGGTCGTGGCCCGAGCTCGGACTTTGTCCCAGAGTGTCGCAGCACACTTCCGCCCTTCCTGATCGCAGATGACGACGGCGTATACTGCGATGCGGACGTGCGGAGCATACTGCGGCGCACTGAGCCAATCCATCTTATAACCCGACCCATGCGTGCCACATAGGAGGGAGTGGGTTCGTGCTGATTGGGCGATTTTCTTCCCCACCTTAAATCTTGCCTTACACAGACGTCACAATGTTGCCCTGGTCCGCTGTGCACACCACGTGGCGGCCATAGTTTAATTGGCGCTGGTGTCGCTAGGGGGCCTCGTGCTCGTGGCAACGGTTGGTCCTGGGGTAAGAAGGAGCCGTCCGCTTCCCCGAACTCTCCCGCAACGCAGGTGCCCTCCCCGCCCGTTTTCGAACCTGGGTTCCATCGACCTGCTTAATCCTGGGCAGCCCCGTGCCGTACCGTCCGCGCGGACTCGACGAGTCGGACGTCGAAGCCGGAACCCAATTTCAGGGCCTCCGCCCCCAAGGGTCGTACGAACCTGGCGCCTCGGGGAACGGAGCTCCGTTCCCGTCGACTTCGTTTCTCTACTCCCCTCTCCTCTCGTTTTCTTTTCTTCCTTTTTCATGAGGCGATGACGGTCGGGATGTAAGGCACCGTTATTCGCCCCCGGCGATAGCTCAAACCCTCGCCTAGGCACCTCATGCTGAAGAAAGACTCCCCCGTTTCGTCCGGGTGGCTCATTCCCCACGGCCAAAAATCCTTGGCCACGCCCCTAGCTACTCTAATCGGCGTCTGAAGTATGGAACGCCGCGCGGGGCGTGAGGTTGACGCATCACAAGCTCGTCTCGGTGTTGGTAAGTTCCTCCATCTCCGACCTCCTCCTCCCTTGTCATTCCTCCAAGGTCTCCTCCCTCTGTATGTGTATGTGAGTGTGTGTGACACTGCGTGTGTGTGCCAGTGTGTGTGTGTGTGTGTGTATGTTTGTGTGTGAATGTGTGTGTGTGTGTGTGTGTGTGTGAGTGTGTG